AAGTTTCCTAGCATTGTTTTTTATTTTCTTGTCCATACCAGCAGCTGTGCCATATGTTCTGAAAGTGTTTGCAGTGTTCCAACAGCATCCCAAGACCTTGCCATGCCTATCACTGTCTAGAAGTATGGAAATTGCCAAACACAAGACACCCATTGTCCCAGGGCAATGTCCTAGGAGTTGCTCAAATGTTACCTAATATAACAGTTCAAGACTTGTTTAAGCTGACTTCATGCAAAAAAAAAAAAAAACCAAAAAAAACCAACAAAATAAAACAAACAAATTATGTTATTTTGTACCCTTTGAATGTCTCCATTGAGGTGTGTGGAAATACACCTGCAGGATTAAGGGTAACACCCTAATGATCAAGTCACTGTGTGGGCTGGTCTGCAGTACTTAACTTTTAGATTCACTGTCACTTTCAACCAGGCTTATAAAAGAGAAAGCCCACAGATGAGTAAATCTGCACCACAAAGCTCAGGATGGAGACAGAAACTCAGAAACAAACATGCACTCTGAGACCACACAGTGTCAAAAACAAATTTTCAAGATTCTTTTTTCTCACAAATAGCAAACAGACTTGCATTCCCACATTCCACATATTTGCATAGTTAGGATCAAAGACTTTCTAAATTCTATTAATTTATTCCTATTAATTGATAAATATTTGCCTGACAGCACCCCTCAAGGAGCCTGAGGCACTGAGCCAAATGCAGCAATGCTCTTGTTTCTTTTAGACTAAATGTGGGTGTTGGGGAAGATGAAACAGGAAAGCCTTATAAATATGACTGCCTGGCAAAAGATTTTGAGAATATAGAAACTATAAGTGAGATTGAAATGAAAGCAAGCTTTGAGATCCCTTAGTTACTGAACAACTGGAAAACAATGGTATGGCCAGCTGAAGGTAATTCCCTTTTGATCAAACAATTCCCTCTGCTTGCAGACAGGTCCAAGGGTCAGAGCAGACCCTACAGCTTGGCAGATGGGGTCCAAAGATTAGTTTTTAGGGTTTAAAATGTAGCACAGTATGGTGATGTAATGATTCTTATAGGCTGTATGGAAATGCTATAGGATTTGTATGTTGTACTAGATTGGTTAGTGAGAATTAGAATATTCAACACAAAAGAAGATTCATTGTATTATAACAGGAACCTCGCTCTCTTACCCTCTTAGCCTCTCATCCTTTCTCTCTCTCATCCTCTCTACCCCTCTCTTCTCTGTCACAGACATCTTTTATGAAAAATCCTTTCCTTAGGATTTTTCCTCCTGAGAAGCTGAGAGGCCTCAGGAACAAAATGTAAACATTGATTATCTGCTGCTGTGGAATGCAACAGGTGGATCTGTGATTGGCCCATGTTGAATGTTTATAATTAATGGCCAGTCACAGCCCAGCTGGCTCAGAGAGAGAGTCCGAGCCACAAGCCTTTGTTATCATTCTTTCCTTTTCTATTCTTAGCTAGTCTTCTGGTGAAATCCTTTCTTCTATTCTTTTAGTATAGTTTTAATATAATATATATCATAAAATAATAAATCAAGCCTGCTGAAACATGGAGTCAGATCCTCATCTGTTCCCTCATCCTCAGACCCCTGTGAACACTGTCACACTTTTCTCGTGCCTGCTCCAGCTGTGGCTGGCAGCTCCCAGCAGGGCCCTGCTCCCAGGCCCTTTGCAATAAACTCCAAGTTCCACCGCCTGGCTGCAGAGATCTCTCATCTCTGTCTGTCCCACCCTCTGAGGCTCCTACAGTGGGGATTTGGGCAAGGGGGAGCAGTCCAGCCAAAATCAAACATGGCACACCGACCACGGAAGCTCTCCTTAACTCCAGACCTTTCATCTAGGAAGGAAAGCACACGGCGGGACGCAAACACGAATTTGGCATCTCCACCAGAGCCATTCCCACTCATTTGCTCCACAAGGAGGTGGAGGGACAGCAGCACTTGGGGCTGGAGCAGGCAGAGGAGCAGGCAGGGCTCACCCTGGCGCACGAAGGCCATGAACTCCCGCACCGTCTGCTCCAAGGGCACGCCGTGGAACACCAGGGGCCGGAAATTGCGGTGCTGGAAGGAGCGCACCAGGCGAACCGTGATGGTGCAGCCTTCTGCTGACATCAGAACCAGCTCTGAGCGACCTGGGAAACACCAAAGGGAGGAATTACTGTGTGGGAACCCAGGACATTCCTCTGGCTGCCCTGGAGGGCTCCAGTCCCTGCCCAGGGGGCTCAGAGACCTTGGCACAGAGCCCAAGACCCTGTGCCTTTCATTCAGCCCTTGGAAAAAACAATTACCAACCTTATATGAAGAATTACAAGCCACAAAAGTTTAAGTAGAATGATAGTGAATTTATCACAAGGTGAAAAATAGATTTTTGGGGGTTTTAGAATGGGCATTCAGGGGGAAAGATGGAGGAATCTGGGCATGTCCAGCCTTTCTCCTCCTTCTTCCTGGCCTCCATCTTCTGCTCTGATGTTGGCACTTACAGATTGGTTTACAGTAGAAGCTCACTGTCTAACATAGGTGATAGGCATTAGGAAATTATTGCAAATATTGCACACATAGTTTTTTAGTACAAAAAGATAACACAGCCCTGGGAGCAGGCAGAGTGCCTCTGTCTGTCTTGCTGAGCAGACCTCAGCAGGACAGGAGAAAGAATTTTATAAATAAGATACAATAAACAACATTGAGAATGAGAAATGAAGAGCTCTGACTTCTTCTTTGACTGCCAGGCTGGGAAAAGAGACTTTCTAACATATCTTGGGGTCACTGTGAGCAGCAGAGATTCCAAGATTACTGCCTTTCCTCTGTCTATGAGCACAGCTGGAGAAAGAGGTGCAGGCAGGCCTCGTGTACAGAATAAAACATGAGAGAAATCCAACAGCATTGGGCCCTTCAGGATTTCACTGCTGTGATTCCCACAGGGAACAAACAGATCCTGCACACCACACACTCCAGCACCTGTGCTGTGCAATGCCACACCAGACTCCCCACTGAACATGCAAAAGTGCCGTGGATAAATTTAGCGACATTTCTCCTCACAGAGAAAAGCAAGGCACAATTCTTCCCGAGAGTATTTCTGGGTTTCACATTCTCTGAACCTCAGAGAAAGGAAAAGCAATTCTTATCATTTGCTGTACCTGTGTTTGTGCAAAAGTAGAATGCAATATGGAGACTGTTTACCCAAAGTGATGGTGTTTTGTTTCCTTGGCCTATCAAGCCCAAATGTGTGTGTGTGTTTGTGTCAGGACTGCCAGCTGACAGTCACAAAATTCTCTGCAGTTGTGTGTGGTTGAAAGCTTGGCAGATTCAGTTTAGATGTAACGTAACACAGTGTAATATAATATAGTATAATAAAGGAATTAATTAGCTTTCTGATAAGATGGAGTCCTCCTCATCATTCCTCCCTGCCATGCGGGTCATCCTGTTTCAATAGATAAATGCAAGAGTGTTGTGTGGATTTTAAGTGACTGAAGACTTCACCTGCTGGGCTGTAGGACAATGTCCTAATACAAACAAACCCAAAGACTTTTTTAACATACTTGTGTTGGAAAGAGTGTAATACTCTGAAAAATGTCTAAGCTGTTACACAATGCTCATTTTCACCTCCCCAGGGGAAAGTGAAAAACCACCCCACATACACAGGCAAATCATTTTCCTGGTGTACTACAGCATAATTAAGGGATTTAATTTATAATAGTCAATCTCTAGAACGGCTCTGTGGGCTTATACTAGAGAGCAGAGCCTAAAACAGAGCAGCCTTGGCAACCCAAAACCCTCTTCAAACAAGCCCATGTATTGTTCTATTGGGTTTTTTCCCTCCACAGGAAGATAAGCTCTTTTCTGCCCTGACAAACTTCTCTATTTTTGGCGCTGGGCATCCTCAGCTTCCTGGCCACGGGCAGCAGTGCCAGAGCTGCTGCAGCCACGAGCAGGGACTGACCCCGTGCGCTCCAACATCAGCGCGACCTTCGCACCTCCCATCCCGAGCAGGATCTCAGAGTCCACCTCCAGCCCTGACAGGGAACCTTTCACCCAGTCATCCCCAAATGATCTTTTTTGTGCGTCTTTTTGGTTTTTTCCCCCTTTTTTTGCTGTGGGGTTATTTAAGCACCCCACCATCCTGCAGGTGCATCCCAACCTTGGCTATTATGTCCCAGCCGTAGCCGGGCAAAGCAAACTACCAATATTTTCATCAATCACTATCTGCACAACGGGGACAAAGACCTTCCACCACACAGGGCAACTTGCTTTTGCATCACCTTGGCTAATAACCCCGAGTTCCAAATCCATTTTAAATGAGTGTGTGTCACACACCACACAAATTATAAAAAAAGTGTACTTTGCACCTGGAAATAATTCGATTTATACTAAACAGCAAAGATGGAGGTTTTCTTAGTGCTACTCCACATGGGCTGGTGATTTGCAGGGTGCAGTAAAGGGCACAGCATTCAACTCACTTGCTCCTAAGCAGCATGGAGGAACCCTGTGGGAACACGGAATGGGGAGCTCGATCACAAATCGACAATTTTCTCATTTCTACTCAAACCGATCGCACGGAGAGCTGGGACCGTGCACTACCCCGCGCCTCAGGGGACAAGCAGGCAGGTGGGAGGCGCTGGTGGCGCATTCCTCTGGAACAGAGGGACCTCCCGGACCCGCAGCAACCCCGGCACCGCCGCCCGTCCCAGCGCGGCCCGGCCGCACCGGCACCACCCGCCCCAGCGGGCCCATTACCGCTCTCCGCCGCCACTTCCGGGTACCGCCCCGCCCACCTGCTCCGCCAATCGCGTCCTTTCGGCTGCACCCTCGGGACGCGCGATTGGCTGAGAGGGCTCTGTCCCGCCCCTCGCGCCGCCGTTGTCCTCTCACGCGCTGCTGAACTGGAGGCACCCGTGCCGCCTCCGCATTGGCTCCTTGCCCGTCCCCGGCTCGCGCTGATTGGTGCTCGCGGGGCCCGCGGCGCTGCGATTGGCCGGCGGCCGGTCTGGCGAGGGGTGAGGCGGGCGCGCGGCGGGGGTGGCGGGGCAGACGCCGCGGAACCGGGGCCGGGCGGGTTGGGCGCGATGAGCGAGGTGCGGGGGGCGCTGGGGCCGGGGGGAACCGGGGGCGGCTGGGGGACTCCGCGAACCTTCCCCTCACTCACCCCCTGCCGCCTTCTCCCCAGGCCGCATTCCAGAAGGCTGCCGAGGAGGTGAAGCAGCTGAAGTCGCAGCCCACGGACCAGGAGATGCTGGACATCTACAGCCACTACAAACAGGCCACGGTGGGCGACGTGAACACCGGTAGGCACCGACCGGGAGGCAAAACCTCTCCCTGTCTGCGCTTCCCTCAGCCCCGCGGCGCAGCGAAAGTGCCTGGGAGCCGCCTTGGCAGGGATTGTATGCGGAGGGCACGGGCTGACCCGATAAGGCTTTGTGCAATTCGGGGTTTTTAGATTAACCCGGCTGCCGCCGTCTGCTCCGTGCAGTGAGGGCCTGAGGATGCTTTGTGCAAATATTGGCATTGGATTTTTTTGAGAGCTCTGTCAGTGTGTAGCTGCTCAGGCCGAGGGTGCTGCTTTAATGTAGACACTTCTCGGTTATACAGACTTAAACAGCAAGGCGAGAGATACAAGGGTGGAATTGCAATACTGGAGGGGATGACACATTTGAGTTTATTCAGACTGGATTGGCTGCTAAAAATAGCACTGGAAAGCAAAACCAGAAGAATAGGAGAAAACTTTTATGCGAGCTGCAATTAAATATACTTCAGAAAGATTGTACCAAAATTTTGTCTTTAGGTACACAGTGCAGAATGTTTCTGCCTACTTCTCTTGCTACAATGCTGTCCATGGCAGCTCAGCTTTTGGAATTAAAGTGGAGCATGTCTCTATCGACCTTGTGTAAGGCTGGAGTAGCTAGAATTAGAAAGGGAAAAGGTCATTTCTTTGGAGTGCTGGCCTCCTAACCCAGTAGCTGGCAAAGTTTATTGAGTGTCCATTGATTTAAAAGCTGGCAGCAAAGTGTACAGGAAATGGTAAGTAATTTAATCTCCTTTTTCCAAAGCTGGCAGCGTGAGGGAGAAAATTATTTTCTTTGGGTTTAAGATGTGGTCATTTCGGTGTGGCTGGACACCAGCACTATTAGTGCTTGCCAGGGTGAAGCAGTGCTGGGGACGTGCCCCCGTTCCTGCGAGTGTCTGCACGCCTGTGGAGCAGCAGCCAGCAGGAGCCTGTGGGAGGGTGGCTGCTGGGGTTTGTGCTGCAGACAAGGGGAGCTGCCAACTGGAGCCACAGGTCACTGTGCCATGGGAGCTGCACAAGGCTCTTTGTGAGCGCTGCCCAGTGCCATTTGTGAGTTCTAAGAATTATCTTTGAGGAGAGAGAGAGAGGGAGGAAGTAAAGCCACAAAAGGGACTTTACACCAAGATTAACCATATACACGTCATTCACTTTCTGCTTGGCCACACCACAGCCTGCAATGAAGTGAGTTAAATTTCTAAGGTTTTCAAACGCAGAACTATAGCGTAGAAATACACCACTAACTTGATGATAATGAGTTCCAAGATGTGTGTTACTATAAATAGCTGCCTGTTTCTGTGTCTCTGCCTGTAATGGACCTCAGGGTGTTTCTGCTTTACTTTAGAGCTGGTGTTCTTTAATTGGACAGCTCTTGTGTGATGGCAAGCTCTTCAGAAAGTACAGCTAAACCAAATGACAGCAGTTGGTGCTCTTCTGCTCAAATGCTGCTGTCTCAAGGGACTTTGAAAGAGCCTATTTCTGTCGTCACCAACGATGTTGTAACATATTCCCCTGAGGTGATCTCCTGGCTACAGGTTAGCAAGCAGCAGCTGCCGAGATGAGCCTTTGTATTTAATCACAGCTAAGAGCCAGCTAAGCCTTCAAGTGGGTATTACTCACAGCCAGATCACACAAACTAATGCTGCTGCTCATCCTGCCTTTCTCAGAGCGCCCTGGTATGCTGGACTTCAAAGGCAAAGCAAAGTGGGATGCCTGGAGTGCATTGAAAGGTAAGTGTCTGATTAAAGGAATTAATGAAATTACGCCTGGCAAATTAGTCAGAAAGACACGTGTAGTTCAGTAGGAAACACAATTGTGTTGCCTTTTAATGCAAGAGTTCTAGAAGTTCAGAATGCCATGATAATAAATTTTAATTACCTCTGCAAGGCAGAAGTAATCCTGAAGAATATGGCCTGTGTGAAAGGGAATTAGGGTGCAGAATGCCCAGCTGGCCTAAGATGTTAAATAAAGAAGAATAACAGCAGGAAAAATCTAAAGTTGTGTTCCTGGTCTCAGTCTAGTATCCCAAAAACTGAGCTCTCCCTCCAGCTGTTATACATCTTCCAGTTAGAAAAGCTTTGGAAGACACAATTGAGCTCCCAGCTCTAAATGATGATCCAAAAAAGTGGTCTGATCTGTGACAATGGGGGCTTTTTTTCTGGTGTTTTAAGGAATAGCTTTCCTGCAGTAATTGTCAATGGCATTAATAGAACTAATGCACTGGTTAGTTGCTGTCTGTGCAAAAACAACTTTGCTTGGAAGCACTGTGTTTTCATGACTGATAAAACACATTTGTTTAAAGCTTTAGCAGTGGATTCACAGCCAAGTGACCTTCCTGGCTCCTTTGCTCTCCAGTGGCACAAACTAGAGCAAGGAATTGTAACTTGTAAATTCTTGAGGTAATTCTTAATCTGTGAAAGGTATCTGACTGCTTCCTGTGTTCTGTCCTTCAGGAACATCCAAAGAAGATGCAATGAAAGCTTACATAGCAAAAGTGGAAGAACTAAAGGGCAAATATGGCATCTGAGGACTGGATAAGTCAGCTGCATGCATGCCTGAAACCTGCCTTATTTCTAATGTGGGAAACTGGTTTCTAAGAGTAACCTTAGATTCCTAGTATGTCATAGTCGGTTCTCCTCATGCGTGTAGTTCAGGAGAAATCATGTACCTGGCTAATGTACTGACACGGTATAAATTCCTTCTGGGAACAGAATCTGGAACTCATTAAAGTGCATTTGGTACTTTAGCTGTTGTTCTGGTGGTCCCTCGGCGCTCCCGGTGAGCTCAGCCCCGAGCGCCGCCGGGCGGAGCCGCGTCCCGTCCGTCCGTGTGCCGCTAGAGGGGGACGGTCCCCTGCGCTCGGCACCGCCGGCTCCCGGCGAACCAAACCCCTCCTCTCAGCCCTGAGTGACAGCCCACGGCAGCTGGAGCATCCCAGAGCTTATCTGGAAAAGGTTATCTCTAATGCTGTGTGTGCTAGGAGCAAGGTGCTTGGTACTTATTGCCTGGAGCCTTCGGAGACTTCATCAACAACTGCCAAATCATCTTTCATAAAACACTTCTGGGATGTGTTATTTCCCAACAACAACGTTGGGCTTCTAGGGTAAAGGCAAATGCTGAGCACAAAGCCTTCCCTGGGCAAGGAGAGCTCCCAGAGGCAGTGGAGTTGATCCTCTTGGTGCTGTAAAAGCAAGAGAATCAATTTGATGTTGCCAAGCAGTTGGCTTCAGTGAGGGGTGAGTCCCTATAGACTTTGGCAAGACTGCTCAAAGAGGAAGACTTAGTGATCATCAGCAGAAGTTCAGTTACAAAACACAGAGTTGTCACTGTCTCTAGTAGTTCATTGTTTTGTCTGCCTACTGTAGTCTCTTGGAGCTGCTGATGATGGAAAGGGAAGATTTTGCTTTAAAAATGTGACATTGAACTATTCCAGCATAGAGCATTTAAGAATGAAATCACAACCTTATGCAGGAATAAGGAATTGTAATTTTGGTTAGCATCTGAATAGGTGAGGACTTCAAGCACTCTTCAGATAAGCAATTGATTTGTGGAACTACATAAGGATGAAAACTATCATGTATCTGTCTAGGTAAATACAGTTTTGTAGCTAGTTATGCATGGTGAGTAGTAGATTTAGTGATTACTTCACATGCTTTCAAAAAATTTTACTTTCCCCTTTACTACTTTTAGTGGGAAATGCTCTTAGACCTCCTTTTTGTCCTTTAAAATGTGTTAGGATAATGAGCAAAAAAAGGCAGTTTATTCTTGTTCCTCCGTGTTCTTCTGGGTAAGTAAAATAAGCATTTGGAGGTTTTTTACCTGCTCTTGTATCCTCTGTTACTTGAGATTGTCTTAATTAAATTCACTTTGCAAGAGAGGGGTAAGAGCAGATGTTCACCATGAGAAATGCTCTTACCTCTTCTCTAGCCCAAAATTCCACATCTTCTACAGCTCCATCTTGGCAGCTGTATTTTGTGAAGCTGGTTACCTTGGAAGGATTCTGCCAGCCTTTACCAGAACAGAGCTCACACAGCAAATGCTCCCACATTGCTCTTGTTTGCTGGGAGCACTGTGGGCACACTGTGCTTTGCCAGCATGTTTTCTGTCAAAACAGGTGTACTCAGAGTTTTTGACTGCTTAAGTAGTGGAGCTTGGTCTAAAGGATGGCCGGGGGGTAGCAAATTCTATATCCCAGTCCTCATTTGGAATCATTTCCCTTGTGACAATTCATTGTTATAGTGCTGCTCTCCTTTCTCATACCTCTAGCATTAGGAAAGCCTTGCTTTGTACACAGTGCTGATCCCAGAGAGGGTTTGCTCTTAGCCAGGCTTACAAATAATGCTATTTGCCAAGGAATACAAGTGACAGAATTTTGTCTTTATTTGGACACTTAATTTTTTACTGTAATGTCACCTTTCTGCTCACAGCTTCGCCATCCTTGAGAAAGTAACATCAGTGGTCTTACTATTTAGCTTGCCTTTTGGCAATCAACTGTGTCTCTCAGGAGCAAGCTGAAAACTTCAAGATGTGGCAATAGCTCTGCAATAAGTGGCTACAAAAGGCACGAAGGCAGAAGCAAAGGTACCTGGTGGTGGCTGTGCACAGTGTTTGTGACAAGAAGCAGCAACACAAAATTTGGCTGGACAGGCAGTAATGGTTGAAATAGACTAAGAGTTGAAATAGGCTGAGCTGAGCTAAGGGGCTCGTTGTGGTTGTCTAGCAGCAGGATGAATGTCTGTAAATGTGTAAGGGTGCTGGGCTGCCTGAAAATGTTGCTGACCTAGTGACCACCTAGTGCTTGCAGGTGAGGTGTGTGAGGCACCTGGGCTGCATAAATAACACCAGGGCAGTGGTGGTTTGTGGGCATCTACAAACAGATTTGTAGGTAGAGGTGATTGCTTTTATTAAACTAATAAGGTGGTAAAAATAGACAACCATTATCATATACAGCCTTGAGATCAGAAACAGAAGCAGCAAGCCTCAAAACAAAATATAATCCAGAGCCATTGCTCAAGGTACTTGTGGAGGATCAGATGCTTTTGATGGCTGGGCAGAGCTGCAAAACAGGGGATTGTTCTGACACCCACTCAGGGAGTTGCTGCTGTTTCCTCTTGGTTAGATCAAAGAAAGGCCAGCTACATCCTGATGCTTGCAGAGCTGGGGAAGGAGGAGGGAAGGAGACGTGCTCTGAAGCCAGCCCAACAGGCAGGAGGTCAGAGGCCAGCTGGCACACACACACTCAGCCCTGCTCTGCTGAGTCTGCAGTGTGCAGGACAGAACCTGGACTTTGGATGTGGCAATAATAAATGTTAACTCTGTGTGTGATAAGGCAGTGTTCCTTCTATCACGCTTCCATGATTAGCTCTTGCACAGAGCACCACAGAGCTGAATGGCACCCACTGCAGGTAGAGATAAGAAAGGGGATGATGTTTTCCTTGGAAATCTCTTTCTGATGGGTTTTGCTTGCTTTTAACAAACACGTGGAGGTGTAACACTCATAGCACAGATTTAACAAGTCAGTATTGGTGTGTTGCTTAAGGCCCATAACAGACTTTTCAACCCTGTGAGGTAAATTTTTCACTTTGGTTAAAAGGCCCTCCAAGGCTGGCTGCAGTGTGCAAGTAACTCAAAATTCTTCAGTACTCATCTGGAGTGATCCGGTTTCATTATGGAAGCATTTTAACCTTTGAACTTATATGACCCTGCTGATACTGCTAAAAATAAATGACAATTGCATTTGCTGCTGTTCAAAATATTTGCTCTTCCCCCGAGTGTTCAGAGCAAACAGTATTGGGCAATACTACTTTGGGGTGACTGACCATCATCTAAGCCATTTTGTGAGATTGATTATAAATTAGGGAAACAGTGTGTTTTGGTTGGGACAGTTTTCTAAATACCACAGCTGTCACCCCAGAAGTAGGTTACAGTCTTCCAAGTTGTCAAAGCTGTGTAGAAGTAAAACAAGTTGATATTACATTGATAGAAGACATTTGAGTGCATTCACAGTAATAAACTCAGAAGGGTAAAAGTTAATGGAACAAAAATAGAATCTAATTTGTTTTCTCCCCCTCACAAGTTTATGAAGTACCCTCCAATCTATGAATTAGCCAATCAGCTGCTCATTTAAAGTGCAAATACCATCAATCCATTTTAGATGGGTCTTCATCATTTATAGAACGAGCTTGTATTTCTTCTAGAATCAGGGTATCTGTGAAAGTTACACACAGCTTAGTTGTGTTATCTTTAGAATACAGAATTCACAGGGAGCTTTTCTGCAGTGATCTTTTAACTTTCATTCCCAGCTACTCCAGTACACGTACCTTTATAAGCTGCATCAAAAGCAGCGTCACCACTTTCTTGCTACACCCTGGAAAGAGAAACAATTACATTACTGGGCCAGTGCAGCCAGGCAGACACCTTGTTTGTCCCCACCAAATGTGCAAAGCACCAACTTGTGTTTCCCAAAAGGCTGAGGCAATGATATGTCCTCTCCTCCTAATAAATACTGCTCCTTTAAGTAAGTTCTGAACTTGGGAGACAGGCTAACCAGTTCAATGTACTTGCTACTTTTAAATCTCCTGATATGACTTTTTACTGATAGAAAAAATAAGTTTGTGACAGCTGAGAAACTAAATTATTTCCCCCAACTTATGTAGTATTGACGTATGGACCCAAATTTTTCTAGTAGCTCTAAAGACTTAAAATTGGGTTGCGTTTTTTTTCAGTTTTGTATTTTTTGGGGTTTTTTTTGTTTTGTTTTGGTGGGTTTTTTGGGTGGTTTTTGGGGTTTTTTTTTAATGTTTGTTTGTTTTTTGTTTTGTATTGACTGTATATTTCAAAGGAAATTTGTCAGAATGGTCAGATGCAAATATTTTGTGGTATTTCCTAAGCCAGTGTAACATTAACAGACATCCCTGAAAAAGGCTGATTCTGAAGCAGAATGAGTGAGCACCCAGTGCTGGATCTCAGCAATGTGATCTGAGGTAGGTCCAAAAACTGATCGGAGGTGAAAACACAATTCTTGCTGGGATACATCTATTCCTTCAAGCCTGTTCCACTTAAAGTCTCTCTTCTTCTTAGATTGAACTGAGGTGGGGGATAAAATCTCTGTAATAATGTATGGAGTCCCATATTATCAGCATGTTTCTAAACCAGCTCTGAGTCCCTCAGCAAGCACTGTTTGATGTGGGTGGTCAGTAGGACCCAGAGCTGGCTGCTGGGTCCAACTGGGTGTGATCACCATGGGCAGCAGGACCTAGGGCTGGGTATAACTGGGTATTTCACCATGGGCAGCAGGATCTAGGGCTGGCTGCTGGGTATAACTGGGTATTTCACACCTGGTAGCCCCTGTCTGGTGGCCAGTCTGCCTTCCTGAGGCACAGCAGAGGTGTCCAGGCAGGAGGCAAAGTGAAACCTATCTGGCCCAGGAGCTCGCTCCTCTTTAGTGCTTTTACATGCCAGGATGAGTTTGTCCGCTTGGCTGCAATAACTTGCAGGGATGGGAGGGAAATCCTGAGGTAAAGTAGTTGTGATAAGGGGCTGGTCTGAGCTCCATGGGCCTTGGCACAAGCCAAACCCCCTTTTGGTAGATGTGCTGCTGCCTGGGGCACGATTCACCTAGGATGACTGCCTGAGTTCCCAGAGGCTGCTGGGCTTGAGCAGCTTCCCAGCAACTTGCTGAGTTTTTGCCCTATTCCAGAAGCTCTGTTCATCCAGCTAGGCTGAACCCAGCCTGAGCTGAATGCA